AAGAAGGATGGAGGTTTAGGATTTAGGGACCAAGTGAAAATAAACAAAGCTTTCTCTATGAAGCTTGGATTTGGTCTCATCAGTAATTTGGAGGATCTTTGGGTGAAAAGTGCTGAAAGCCAAGTATAAGGTTGATGATGCTATGATTCCTAGTCTCACTGTATCTAGGAATGCTTTTAATGCTTGGAAAGGCATTCAGCAGGTTTGGGAACATGTTCAACTTGGGGTCAGGATTCTGCTTGGTGATGGCAGAAACATAAAGTTCTGGGAGGATAGCTGGATACCTGGAATCAGTAGACTGTTAGATGATGTGCAAACTGAAGTGCCTGAAGAAGTTTCCAAGTGGAGAGTGGCTGACTGTGTATCAAATGAGGGTGATTGGAATTGGGATTTGTTGAATCAGTTCTTTCCTGTGGACATTATGTCTGCTATATCAAATATTCCCCCTCCTAAGGATTCTGATGACAGGGATAAAGTCATTTGGAGACATTCCTCTTCTAGATTATTTTCGGTGAGCTCAGCTTATTCATCCCTTTGCACTTCTCAGTCCAGCCAGGATACTGTTGATTGGAATTTAATTTGGAGATAGGAGGGTCCCCAGCGAATTAAAGTCTTCCTATGGCTGCTATATAATAACAAGATTCTATCTAATGATGAAAGGGTTAGAAGACACATGGCTGATAATTCCAGCTGCCCCAGATGCCAATGTCCAGTTGAAAACAAGGATCACATTTTCAGGAATTGTGGTTGGACTAGGGATGTCTGGAAGCACTGGGTTGATAACACAAGCAGTGGTCAGTTTTTTGGACTACCCTTTGATAACTGGATGATGACAAATCTCAAATCCAAAGGTCATAGCTCCGATTGGCACTTAAACTTTGGTATGATATGTTGGTATATATGGAAGGATAGGAACAACCTCATTTTCAAAGGTAATAGCCTAGCTCCTCAGGCTTTTTTCAATCAAACCTCTATTCACATTATGAATATTGCTACTGCCAATGATGTGCTGAAGGGGGCAGGACTAGAGTTGGAGCCTATGAGAGATATTTGGGTTAGTTGGAGGGCTCCTCCAAAAGGATGACTAAAAATTAATGTTGATGGGTCTTGTAGAGATAATGGTTTTAATTTAGCTTGTGGTAGGGTTATCAGAGATGTTGCTGGGAACTGGGTGCATGGCTTTTCCAGGAAGCTTGGCCATGGTTCAGTTTTAATGGCTGAATTATGGGGCATCTTGACAGGGCTGGAATGGATTTGGCAGCAGAATATGAGGAATGTTGTTCTAGAGGGAGATTCCCTGGTTGCAATTCATCTGATTACAAATGGGTGTGTTAGCTCACATCCTTGCTTCTTTCTTGTTAATAGAATTAAAGAGCTGATGCTTAATCATTGGCATGTGAATATTTTACATACGCATAGAGAAGGCAACCGAGTTGCTGATTGGCTAGCTAAGCTCAGGGTTGATAATAGTTGGGATACTCATTGTTTTAACATTCCACCTAATGGGTGTAGGGACCTTGTGTTAGAAGATTGTATGGGCTTGTCTATGCCCAGTTCTGATTTGTTTTAGTTTCTTTCTGCTTTCCTTTGTAATCCAAAAAAAAAAGAAATAATAAAATTTCAATGTTCATCAGTTGCTAGCGTTTTCGTATGACCTGTTATGAACCAGTAAAGTTTATTTGAAATAAATTTGTAATTAATAAATTCAAACTCAAACCTTTTTTTATTATTATTATTATAAAAAAATAATAAGAACGATAAGAATGTGAAAGGTTGGATTCTCCTTTTAAATAGAGAAATACTTTATTTAGTTTAGATTACTTAAGGCATAAATTTCAAAATTAATCTGATATTAGTTAAAAAGGGGTAATTTAACCGTGACGGTTTGTTAACTCCACGTATTTTATTTCGGATCATTTTAACCGTGACGGCTTGATGATCTGAAACAAATCAAATTTATCATATTTTCATATCAATTTAAAACATAGAATAATATTAAAATTACACCTAAGGGTGATTTAGCCGTGACAGCTTGTTTAATCCTGCGTGTTTGGTTATGGATCATTTTAACCGTGACGGCTTGATGATTCGTAACTCATTAAAATTATCATATATTGTTTTTTTATAACCTTAAAATCATTTAAAGGGGGTAATTTAGCCGTGACGGCTTGTCAACCCTGAGTGTGATCGGAATTATTTTAGCTGTGATAGCTTGGTACTCCGAAATTTAAAACCAACCAACATACAAATATTTTTTTTTAAGAACGACGTAGCTTTGAATTCCTCACTGTACCGGAGGATACGTCGGAGCGGAACTCTTTCCGTCAAGCTAAAATAAAATTTTAATAATTTAGTCTTCTCATTTTCTAAATAATTATGTTTATTTTTTTTAAGGGATTAAGCAAATATTTTTAAAAGCTATTAATAATTTACACAATTAATTTAAGGTAACTGTTTTTAAACGGATGTGTCAGGGGTGCAGTGGGATTAAGTTTCCACCCTTCCTTGAGCATAATTAGACTCCCGAACCTTTAATCTATAATTTTAAAGACCAGTTTGCAATAAAGTGTTTTCCAATTTTTCCAAAGTAAATAAAATTGGTTGCGAGTTCATTGTCATAATTTTTTAATTCGGCTCGTTACAGTGTGCTTTCCCTCCAACCCTCAGCAGCTCAATACAAATATGAAAACTTTACCAAATGGATACCCAAAAGGTTAAAACGTATTGTGTGAAACGGCTAATAAGGGACACGTGGGAAGAAGGTAAAACGTTTTAACCTATAAAACAACCCACGATTGCCATTAAACACCCACGTAATTACGGTGGCATTAAATGCTTCTGACAGTTAACATCTAATCAACCATTTTTAACCGGCTAAGTCATAATGACTCTTCGGCATGGTTGTTACGACATCAACATAATCGCGCTAAAAGGGTATATCGCGCACACGTGCATAATATATATCTCACAGCTTTGCCACATACCAAAACTGCGAGCTAGGGGGCAACTGATCTGGATAAAATATGATAGGCCCAATAAAGGCCCACATACATAAGGACAAGGCCCAAAACCCATTAGGCCCAGTATAAGATGCAATGACACGCATCGCGCATAAGCTTAGCGCGATGACACCATTGCGCGCGAAACCGCCCTTTACATACCTTCAGAGATAAGGAAACCATCCCAGAAACTAATATAGGTCCACTGCGCCCTTAAGCAAATAGACCGAGGACAGCACCAGCTTGCCACTACTCTATCAAAGTAGCCTGACATTAAAGAGATAAGGCTATTAAGGCACAGGCAGAACCTGCAGCCCTTAAACGGCCAATCAGAGGCCATACCGCCTTCACAAGGCGGCATCACAACCACTATATAAACAAATGGTACATGCCCAGGTATTACAATCTAATTCAGTAAGAATACACACACTCCTGCTATTGAGACTGACTTGAGCGTCGGAGTGTCATCGCAGGTACCCCCCAGTCTGAATCACTGCGCCCTATGTAGCACCGATACGACACGCGACACGTGACACGACACGACACGTCAATCTTAAAAAATTATCGATTTCGACACGTTGGGACACGTTTTAATATTAAATAATATTTTTAATTTATATAGTGTATATTTCATTTAATATTTAATAATTTAACAAAAAAATGAAACTAAATTAATAATACCCATCAACACGTTATAAAGATGGAAGCTTTAATAAAAAAATAAGAACTGGGATGAGAGATATATAATATCAGATAGAGAGATGAAATCATATTAGAGAGAGATCAGAGAGAAGGAGATACAATAAGAGCGTAATAGGAATTGACAACACTGATACTAAGATCTCTTATCTACTTAAGGAAAAAAAAGACAAAAAAATAAAATTGATATGATCAAGTGGAAGCTTTATTAACATATTTTAATTTTTTTAAAAATAATTTTTTTAAAAAATAATATTTTAAAAAAAAATTAAAAAAAATTCTACGAAAATGCCATTTGACCGTGTCGGAACGTGTCGGACACAGTCAAATTCGCGTGTCGGAATGGTCAACGTGTCAGAAAAAGTTGACCGCGTGTCCAACACCGTGTCGGAGCGTGTCGCCATGTCGGAGCGTGTCAAACACGACTCTCCCTGTTTTTACAAGTGTTTGTGCTTCCTTGATTGCGCCAAAGGAGAACCAGGGTTCTTACACCATCAACCACAACTTCAAGTCCAGATAGCAGATCATCTCAAAGGCATTCTCCGTCAACCGTGTGAGATTTAGCTTAATACACATACAAAAGCTTTTGTCTTAGTGTCACAGCACAGGTTGAACCCAACACTTACACACAAGCTTCCAAACACGAATGTTGGCAGAAAGCAATGCTAAATGAAATAGTTGCTCTTGAACATAATCACACTTGGTCTCTTGTTGAATTGCCTCCTGGAAAATGGACGAATGGTTGCAAGTGGGTGTATAAAATTAAATACCATGCAGATGGCAGCATAGAACGACATAAGGCTAGATTGGTGACCTCAAGGTTCTTAACATGGTATCAGAGTCTCACCGTCCCCCGCTTTAAAAAGTGGAATTAAAATAAATAAATAAAAGCACAAAAAGGTAAACCAAAAATGGGCCTGTGAAATTTCCACGCTTCTAGCCTAAAGGGCTCTTACGTGAGGAGGCGTGTTGAAATATTGTTGTAAATAATAATTATTTACAACAGATATATAGTCCCACATTGATTAGATGGGAAGATAAAATGGCCTTTATAAGGCCTTGGACACTCCCACCCCTTGAGCTAGCTTTTGGGGTGGTGTATCCCAAGGTTCTTTACCATAGACAAGGTGATTTACTTAATTACTCCTGATGTTGACTTAGTATGAAAATTTTATTCAAACTTCTAATTAGATTGCAGATCACACTATATGTAGTTCACTCCAAATATATAGAGTACAATCGTAATTCTAAACAATTATCAAGTGGCTGTCGTAAAATAAATATTTTAGAACAGAACCTATTTATATAGGACAGCATTCATAATTCATCATTGGAACATAATTCATGACAGAAAATTCATCTCTTAACAAGCACTATAACTTTCACATAGCTGTCCACATACATAACTCATCCATGCATGACAGCACATGGACTGAAAATCATCCAATCAATTCAAATTTTGAAAGACACGTCAAATGTGGTTGGCAACATTGTGCAACACGTTTTCAGGTGTATTTCTTCTCCACTATCTTTGCCGCTTGAAGAAGGCGGACTTAGGGCCTGAATATTTTGCGTCTAAGCAAAACCTGGGCTTTGAGAAGAAGATTCTCCTGAAGCATGACAATTTAGATTATGAGGTTACAAGCAGCAGAATGGAGTAGTTACAGTCTTCTTTTAAAAAAAAAAAAAAACTATTACAAAAACAGATGGTGAGGTATTAAAGTCCTTGTATGCTGAATATAATGTAAGTTTGAAAAGTTCATTTTAGTAATTTGCTATTATTTTACCAGTAGTCAATATACTACAGTTGTCTACATATGGAATTATCCCAAAGAATAAATTCCACTACACGGTAAATTAACTTAGGTAATCTAGGGTGAGGTACTGTCAAGAGACTGAAAACTTCTGTGGAATTGACATTGTAATTGACCTTGCTTGTTTGTTTGAATAGTAATTTGGCAAAATAAATAAATTAATAAATATGAAACTGAATCTTAATGTGCATCTCATGGTTAGAAAATCCAATCTCTTCATAAATATATACCCTCAAAGTGTTTACCTTTTTCACTGCCAGCACCACTAGCAAAGTTTGACACTGCTGAATTAAAAGCCACTTTTGAAGGTGCAGTGCAACAAGGTTCACATGCTTCATTGTTCAAGTCCACATTTAACATACCTATTTTCCTCTTTTTGGACACAATTTCACAGCCTGTTGAGATGATAAAGTTGAGTAACTTTTTCCAAATAAAGAAGCCAAAATAGCTTATTAACAAACAAGTTAAATCGAAATTTACAAATATTATTTCGTTATATTTCCACACTAATTCATAATCTTATAGAATTCAATTTCTCTTGCATTACTTAAACAATATAAATTGAAATTATTTATACTTTCTTCAAGAAAAAAATTAATAATGCACCACATGAGCATTCTGGCCCCGCTATTCGTCGAGAAGGAAAATATATAGGACAAGTAAATTCGGAAATAGTGAAAGCATAGCGAGAAAGAAATGCTACAATTGTGTATTTACCTTGGAAATTGAAAGTGCTACTTCTCAGCTTTGATACCATTGAATTTGAATGCCAATTCACATTATTCTTCGATGCTGGAGGTGGAAGCAACGAAAGCAATTATGTGCCCTGTCCCAATTGTGGTTCCAATAAAGGCAATGAAGCCAAAGTATTTTGGTGCTGCACAAATTGTCTCTGAGAATCTGCCATGTCCACCAATCTTTGCTCTTCTTTCAACAACAGTGGATTGGTGAATTGAATGTCCTCCATGCTCTTTCCTTGTTTGAATACATGGATTCCACTTTGTTTGACAAACACTCTGTTTGTGCGTTTTGATATAGTACACACCACATAATTCCATTTATTTTCTTCTAGAAGAACAGCATCATGTACGAACTTTTCCTGTTTTATATCATAAAGAACTATATACTCATTCCCTGGATTGCAATCCAAATAGAAACCCTGTCCTATAACTTCTGAAATGCCGTTGACTTCAATATTGAGATACAACGTGGCATAATTTTCATTGAGTCGAATAGCAAAACATAGAGATATCGCAGGGAAGTCCATGTTACGAAACCAGAAAGAAATTGACGATTCATTTATACGATGCTCAAACCACTCTGGAATCCTTGTTTCTAACAAAAGAAACTCTTTGTCTCCACCCTCCTTGTGCAATTCCTGTTAGTCATAATTCATTCATACATTTAGCAACACCTGTATAGTTTGAGTCAAAGTGAAATATATGAAATATCAAATTAAACACGTAAGAAAACAAGAACCTCATTCAGTAACATGCTTCTACACTCGGATGTCAAGGATGGGCATTGGGTTGCTTGCAAAGTTCTTATGCTGGGTGAAATCCCTCTAACTTCTTGAAGATTCTCGCAATTACGCAAAATAAGTGTCGTCAAACATTCAGGAAATAGTGTGAGGTCTAAATCTTTCAAGGATGTGCTCTCCACTGCAATGAATGTTTCTAAGTTGGGTGAAATCCCTCCAATTCCCCGAAAATTCTTGCAACAATATAAATCAATTTCTCTCAATAAGAGACATTCTTTGAAGCATGCAGGAAGAATTGTGAAATTACACTTGGCTAAGTTTAACCATTGCACATTGACAAACAAAGGGAGACCTTTTCGAATGAATTCGTCTGATATATCGTATTTCCAAAAGTTTAATAATACCAACAGTGTTCTCAAACACCAATGAGCTCACTTGTGCTTCACCTTCATCCGGTTTTGATATAAAAAATCCTTCACTTTCCCTAAAAATCAACTTACGAAGTTTTTGCATCATTGAAATGCTCCTTGGTAACTGAACAATTCCACAACGTGACAGCTCTAGTCTTTGAAGCCGAGTGAGATTTTGAATTGAAAATGGAAGTTCTTTTATGGGAGTGCCACTTAAATCAAGCTTCGTCATTTTTTCCATCTTTCCTAATATTTCTGGAAAATTCTCAAGACTAGGACAATGTGAAAGCTGGAGATTTTCAAGAGAGGTCAACTTGATGGGTGGAAAACTCCTAAACTTCTTGCAACCATTAGCATTCAAGGTTTTAAGTTTATTTAGGAATCCAACCGATTTGTGAATTTTAATTAAATTCTCACAATATCCAAATGATAATTCTTCTAAATTTGGGACACCAGACACATCAGGTATCTCTGTTATACATTGACAATGATCAAAATTCAAAACGTTCATATTCACAAACTTCTGCAACAAGAAAAAGAAAAAGAAAAAAATACAGGAATCAAATGAATTATTTCAGAAAGAATATACTGATATAGAACGAAGAAAAGAACTTATTAAACGTACCTTCTTTGACATGAGCAAATCAATTGACATTAAGGGACTTTGGGGTAACTCTAGTATCATAAGATTCTTTTGATTAAAAGTAGATGGTAGTGATGGTGAAGGATACCTCCACCATTCCAGTACTCTCAAACTATTTGGAAGATGTTTGGGACCTTCCAAAAAACAACCCTTTCTAACAATAATTGTTTTGAGGCTTTTCATCTCCTTGAAGGCGTTTCCATCCCATTCAACTACTTCTTCAAATTTGAGGAACTCCAAAATTATGATTTGGATACTACTAGTTCCCTTTCAAGACAAAAAAACACAGGTCAACCATAATACAAGCACACACACACACACATATATATATATATATACACGGAGAACAATAGACAGTGGATTAACACTGTCAACAAATGAAATAATATGCTAAATCATTTCCTTTAAAGAAACAAGCAATATCAAGAAAAATTTTCCGCTCATATTCCTCCAAAGAATCAAAACTTACTTCAAGTATCTTTTGGATCTCTTTATTAGGAATTCTCTCATACTGATCTAATGCAGATTCCCATTCTTCTATCCTTTTCCCAAACAAGTAGGAACCTATTACCTCCAAAGCCAGTGGAAGGCCAAAAGCAAAAGTTATTGCACGGTTTAAAATGTCCACATAACTCGAATTAACTTTGTCAGTTTTAAAAGCATTCCAACTAAGTAATTCAAGAGCTTCTTTATTACTCAAACCATCTACCTCATAAGTTTTCTCAACCCCATGACTTGTTAGCAAATGCTTGTCCCTAGTTGTAATGATGATTTTGCTGCCACAACCAAACCAATCAAGTCCTCCAACAGTTGCCCGCAACTGCTCCAGTTTGTCAACATCATCAAGAACCAAAAGAACAATCTTTCTGTGGAGCCTATGCTTTATGATTGAAATTCCTTCTTTGGAACTTGCTAACTTAATATGCCTCTCTCCAAATACTTTAGAAATAAGTGTCTCTTGGATATGTTCTAATCCATGTTTAATAGAATTTTCTCTTATATTATCAAGAAAACACAAAGCTTCAAATGATTCGGCAATCAAATTATAAATTGCTCGAGCAAGTGTTGTCTTCCCTATGCCACCAATTCCATGGATCCCTATCATGTGAACTCCATCAGATCCGAAATTGAGAAGCGATATTACTTTGGGCACTTGAGACTCCAATCCAACTGGATAATCAGCAACATGTAAAGGAGAGCAATTAATCTTGTCGGAGACCTCTTTAACAATCTTCCCAACAAACTCATATTCATTCTCAGTCCTGCCCATTTATTGAGTGAAGTCATACTAAATGATTCATATCAACATTAAATCAAATCGTAAGACAAATGAAAATTAAAGAAACGAAACAGAGGAAGATAAAAGAGTACCCAAGTTTGAAATGAAAACCAGACAAGTCAGCTGCTTGACGCAGAGCCTTCCTCCACTTTTGTAGCTTCTCCTTGTCATCCTTAAACCTCTGTTTATGAGTAGCGAGTGCTTCCTCATAGCTACAACTCTGATGTCGCACGTGAGAAGGGTCAACGTCATAGAAAACTGGCAAAACCAACCGACCCCTTTCCTTGATGCAGTGAAGGATATGGGCAAGTTCATTTAAGCAAAAGGAAGAAGAAGCATAGTTCTTAGAGAACACAGTGATGGCAATCCTTGATTCTTCAATTGCATTGATAAGTGATGGTGTGATTTTCTCTCCTCTTTGAAGCTCTTTATCATCAATGAAGGTGTGGATTCCCCTGTCATGAAGAGCTTTGTAGAGATAGCCAATGAAACCGTGACGACTATCTTCGCCTCTAAAACTGAGAAACACATCGTATATCCATCCAAAGCTAAAGGAAGAAGAGGGCAACAATGATTCTTGCCTTGCCATGATTGCTCACGATTCTCAAACTAGACAATTTTGGAAACACAGTTTCGGAAAGTAAATTAAATGACGAAACAAAAGTTGGTCTTTGTAAACAAAACAGCACGCGGAGTTGACTTCGTTGCCTTCTTCGAAGTTTCTTTTCTTTTTTATATATATATTTTAAGGGATTTGATTTTCTCATGTTGCATGAGAATTGAATTCTCATGTTATAACTCAACTAATGGTGGCCCCACATTTATTAAAAAGAGAAAAAAAAAAGAAAAAAATTGCACGCAAATCGAAGGGTCACAACATGATAGTTGAATTCTTATGCAAGAGAAAATGTTTTCCCAAATTTTAATGTTAAGAATATAATATTACAAACTTGTACTAATATTTTATTTTATTCTTGGTAATTTGTCCCCTCAAATGACTTCCCGATATGATATTTTTAAATGAGTCATTCTACTATGTACCCCTCGTTGAAGGGTCTATGGTGAACTGTTTAAACATGTTATAATAAGTGACTCTCCCCCTTTAATTTATGGATTATAAATGTATAATGCTACATAAAAAATATTGTTTGGTGCTACACAAACATAAAAGAAGAGAGAGAAAGTGAGTTAAGAATAGAAAAAAAAAATTGTGAATCCCATGTGTTTTTGTTTGTATTGTTAGAAATTTATTTTATGGGCAACATTAATTAATTAGTTTTGTATTTAAAATTAATCGGGTTAATGGATATTTCAATATTATTATTGTAACTAGCTCATTGTGATCACATTGAATTGAGCTTCTAGCATCTGTTGTTATTTGTTATTGGGCCTAGTTGGGCAGCAGTGTAGGCTTTAGTGTGACCCTGGTTTTTCATGATGGGTGGACCCAGTGGACACAGACTCTTTTTTGGGTTATTAGCTAGGTCCCCTCTCTAGCCATCATGCTCCCATCGCTGAGGCTGCCTTTATCAAAATAGGTGATAGAGAGGAAGATCTGGCATGTAGTCCCTTCAATCTTTCGACTTTGTGACGATCCAATAAGGTACACACAATCTCAACTTTGATTTCATATTGTTTAAGTATTTTATAATCATATACATGATTCAGGGTTAAAATAATTCTATCATTTGGTATCAGAGCCTTATGTATATGATTATAGGATCCATGTTGTTGAATGGAATATGATGAATGGAATATGATGATTATAGGATATATGATGAAAAGGTTATATGATGAAAAGGATTTCATGTTTGAAGCGACTGTTTATAATTTTGTGCCTAGTTTAATACTGTTGCATTATTGGTTTTGTTGCCACACTACTGGGATTTCTCTCACCCCTTTGGGGCTGCTAATTTTACAAAATGGCAGGAGGACGTAAAAGCTTTTGAGGACTTGGATATTTGTTGTTGGCTTCTACTGTTTTGGGCATGCTGCTATTGATGTGATATTTTATGGATGACTGTATGAAATTGAGAAGCTTTTATTACAACGAACTATGATTTTATTATTGCATTACGATTTTATGACCAGCAAGTATTTTGGAAACATATGTTGAAACGTTTGCGAAAAGTATTTTGACATGTTATCTAAATGCTGAGTTTTGAAAAGTCTTTGCGAGCACTTTGTAAGTTGTTGTACTGGGGCTACGGACCTCCGATTTTCTTATAATTTATATGCACACGTAGCCCCAGGTGTCTAGTTTCATTATATATAAACCTTGTAAAGAAATTCTGAAAGCTCGATTTATTATGAATTTTACCAGCCAGGACGTTTGTGATATTTTCACTGTTTTATCTCTTATTTTGCGAGTTATGTTTCGAGGGGTAAACGAAATCCAAATCACTATTATTTTATATGAACGTGAAGTCCCAGATGTCTAGTTTCGAGATTACAAAGAATAGTTTTTTGAATCGTTGAACTGGATTTTATACCAATTTTTAAAGACAGCAAGGTCTATCAGGAAATTTATATTTTTAGTAAGTTTAAGAAATTTTGCGTACTCTGATTTTTGTAATTAACCAGATCCCCTCTTTAGTTTTAATTGGAAATGTAAAAGCAAAAACATTTTCAGTTTCTAAAATTCTATTAAAGAACTCTACTTCCGCTTAGCAAACAACTCTCTTGGAGGCCTACAAGAGAGGGTGATACAAATTGGTTCCCTATTTTTCATGATTTCTTCAAACCTCTTAACAATGTCTCCAGAGGTGAAAGAGGTGATAGAATGACTCTCAGGGTCATTTGTGGAGTGTTTTATATCGGGATCAGATGATCCCCCACTCCTCAAATTCTTTCTAATCATAATGGTTGACTAGACTCTAAAATAACTAAAACAAAAATCAACAAAACAACAAAAATTAAACAGCAAATAAAAGAAAAGGAGTAGATAACACCAGTAGTGCAGTCTTAAACACCCCCAAACTTAGGCTTGAATAGTTGGAGAAAAACACCTGCCAAAATATCACAAAAAGAATTTTGTTTGAAACAAAAATAATAAACTGAAAAACACCTAACAATCATTTTTTTTCTTTTTTTTTAAACATATAGTAACTGTGTAAAATATATATATCAACAGCCACAAAAATATATGTACAAAAGACAATGTAACCAGGCATAATTTTTAAAGTCCAAAGCTAGACTTTTCACTGCTTTCTTGTGTCTATTGGGTGGGGGGGGTCAATGAGGGTGATGGAAATCTGAGCTTTCTCAATTGCCTCCCCCAAATAACGCTTTAACCTTTGACCATTAATAGTGAACTTGCTACCATCTTGTTCATTTAAAATATCCACTGCACCATGCAAATGGACTTTTGTCACTTTAAATGGGCCAGACCAACTAGATTTAAGTTTACCAGGAAAAAGTTTTAGTTTAGAATTAAAAAGTAACACCTGCTGGCCCACTTCAATCTTCCTATCTAAAATCTGCCTATCATGCCATCTTTTCATTTTCTCCTTATACAGTTTGGCATTCTCATAGGCATGTAATCTAAATTCGTCCAACTCAGTTGGAGAAGCCTATTCTCACCTGAAACAGTTGCATCCACATTCAGCTGTTTAGTAACCCAATAGGCTTTGTATTCTAACTCCAAGGGTAGATGGCAATTCTTTCCAAAGACCAGCTTGTATGGTGAACATCCTAATGGGGTCCTATATGTTGTTCTATAAGCCCAAAGAGAGTCATGCAATTTTAGTGACCAATCCTTTCTTGAAGGATTCACCACTCTTTCTAAAATTCTCTTGACTTCTCTATTGGTGACCTCTACCTACCCACTGGTTTGTGGGTGGTAGGCAGTAGCCACTTTATGCTTAACCCCATATTTAGCCAAAAGGGCTGCAAACTGCCTATTAACAAAATGTTTACCCCCATCACTAATTATGGCTCTAGGAGTCCCAAATCGTGTGAAAATATTCTTTTTCAAAAATTTAACCACCACCTTTGAATCATTGGAGGGTAAGGCAGCAGCCTCTACCCATTTAGATACATAATCTACGGCAACCAAAATGTATTGGTTTCCAAAAGATGGTGGAAAAGGACCCATAAAATCTATGCCCCATACATCAAAGAGTTCTATTTCCAAAATTGGTTTCAAAGGCATCTCTTGTCTCTTTGAGACATTGCCAGTTCTTTGACACCTATCACATTTATGGACATAGATGTTGGCATCTTTGAACAAGGTGGGCCAATAGAGGCCAGATTGCAACACTGTGGCTGCTGTCCTCATGCCCCCTAAATGACCACCATATAGTGAGTCATGACATTGTTTTAAAATTTCCTCTCTTTCTTCCTCTAACACACATCTCCTTAGGATTTGATCTGCACATATTTTAAACATATATGGCTCATCCCATAGATAAAACCTACTGTCATGTACCAACTTTTTCCTTTGTTGGTAACTTAAATCTTTAGGAAGCACCCTACTAACTAAATAGTTAGCTAAGTCAGCAAACCATGGGGTGATGTTTTTGGAAACCAAAAACAGTTTCTCATCAGGGAAAGTTCCCCTTATGACTGGCTCAAGTTCCTTTTCACATTTTTGCCCTTCATTTAGCCTCGACAAGTGATTTGCTACTTGGTTTTCAGATCCTTTCCTATCCTTTATTTCCATATCAAACTCTTGTAGGAGAAGGACCAACCTAATTAGCTTGGGCTTTGAATCTTTCTTTTCCACCAAATATTTAATGGGAGAATGGCCAGTGTACACAATGACCTTAGTGCCTACCAGATATGACCTGAATTTGTCAAAGGCAAACACCACAGCTAACAGTTCCTTTTCAGTCACTGTGTAATTTAATTGGGCTCTATTCAAGGTTCGTCTGGCATAGTAAATAGAGTGAAAAACTCTATTTTTTCTTTGGCCTAACACAGTCCCTACTGCCCGGTCACTTGCATCACACATTAATTCAAATGGCAGTGACCAGTCAGGGGCTATTATGATGGGAGGAGAAATCAATTTCTGTTTTAGCTCCTCAAAGGCTTTGAGACAAGCCTCATCAAAATAGAAGGGTGTGTTAATTTCAAGCAAATGGCTAAGAGTCTTAGAAGTTTTGGAAAAATCCTTTATAAACCTCCTATAAAAACCAGCATGTCCAAGGAAGGATCTAATTCCCTTTATGTTAACAGGAGGTGGCAATTTCTCAATCTGATCTATCTTGGCCTTATCAACCTCTAAACCAGCCTTAGAGATCCTATGTCCTAACACTATGCCTTCCCTCACCATAAAGTGACACTTCTCCCAATTGAGAACAAGATTTGTCTCCTCACATCTCTCTAACACTTTTCCCAAGTTTTCCAAGCATTCTTGATATGAGTCACCAAAAACACTGAAGTAATCCATGACGACTTCTACAAATTGCTCTATCATATCTGTAAAAATGGTCATCATGCACCTTTGAAAGGTGGCTGGTGCATTGCACAACCCAAATGACATTCTCCTAAAGGCAAAAATGCCATAGGGACAAGTAAAGGTGGTTTTTGGCTGGTCCTCAGGGGCTAAGGCTCTTTGATTATAACCTGAATAGCAATCTAAAAAATAATAAAACTCCCTACCAGCCAATCTATCTAACATCTGGTCAATAAAGGGCAAGGGAAAATGGTCTTTCCTAGTGGCTTTGTTGAGTTTTCTGTAATCCATACAGATCCTCCAACCAGTGACAGTCCTAGTGGGTATTAATTCTTTCTTCTCATTTTTCACAACAGTGATCCCACCCTTTTTAGGAACACACTGCACCGGGCTGACCCAGATGCTGTCAGAAACAGGGTATACTACCCCAACATCCAGCCACTTAATAATTTCTTTCTTGACTACCTCTTTCATAATGGGATTAAGTCTCCTTTGCTGCTCCCTAGAGCTGCTGTTTGGGTCAGTCAAAAGAATTTTTTGCATACAGTAAGAGGGGCTAATGCCTTTTATATCTGCTAAAGACCAACCTATAGCCCTCTTAAATTTTTTTAACATAGCCAACAACTGTTCTTCCTCTAAAACAGTTAGCAGATTGGACACTATGACAGGCAAAGTGTCTTTTTCTCCTAAATAAGCATACCTAAGGTGACTAGGCAGAGGCTTGAGCTCTAACACAGGGGGATCTTCAATTGAAGGTTTGAGAATTTTTAACCCTCTCTTGGCTAATTCTAATGACTCAAATTTTTTATTTTTCCAAACTAATTCAGACCTGGAATTTAACCATTTCACAGCTTCATCTGAATCAGTGTGACTTAACTCTAGACCCTCACAAACCGAAACTCTCATTGAGTCCAATGCAATTTCTTGTAAAAAAAATTCTTTCACCACACAATCTATGATATCTAGCCTAGAACATTCTTCTATGTCTCTTGTGTATTTTATGGCTTTCTAGATATTAAATTTAACTTGCTCCCCGTTTACATTCATTGCCAACTCCCCCTCTTTAACATCTATTACAGCCCCACCAGTGGCTAAGAAAGCCGTTCCCAAAATAAATGGAACCTCTCGGTCTTCCTCATAGTCCAAAATTATAAAATCAGCTGGTAGAATAAATTTATCTACCTTCACCGAGACATTTTCTACTTTCCCTTCAGGATAAACTAGGGACCTATCAGCCAACTGTAAAGTGACAGTGGTAGGATTAGGCTTTCCTACTTTCAGCTTTTTATACACACTCAGAGGCATTAAATTGATACTAGCACCTAAATCACATAATGCTCTGCCTATGTAATGGTCTCATATGGTGCATGGGATTGTAAAACTTCCTGGATCTCCTAGTTTAGGAGGTATCTTGCTAAGCAAATATTAACTGCTCTCTTGTGTAAGAGCAACAGTCTCAAACTCTTCTAGCCTCCTTTTTCTTGAAAGAATTTCTTTCATGAATTTCACATAAGTGGGCATTTGTTCTAATGCATCCACAAATGGAATGTTGACATGCAACTGTTTTAGGAGGTCTAGAAATTTCCTAAACTGAGTGTCTTGCTTCTGTTTTTGCAGCCTTTGAGGAAAAGGTGGTGGGGGTCTGTTTTTGACAACTGGTGTCTCAACATTGGGCTTAAATGCTTGACCCTTTTGATTGGCTTTTTCCATGGAAATATTCCCTAAAGGCTCATCTATAGGGTTCTGATTGTCTGGTCCGATAAACACTTTCTAACATGCTTGATAACATTTAATGTTAGGAACTAAAAAAATTGTATTATGGATGATGAAGTTGAAGCATAATGTTCTCTTACGTTGTTTCACTTTCTTTGACTGCTAGGGAATAATATTCCATGCTAATAATACTATAACCGAAGTTAACTTTTGAACTTCTACTCTTGCAGCAACTACACTGTGAATTACCTGATGCAATTGTACGCCAAATAGCCAATTGTGGGCACCTTCCTCATGTGGAAAGACCTGATACTACTATCAAATTAATTGCTGAATTTTTGCAGAAGGTGTAACATATCTTTGCCCTTCTCTAACAAAGAAGGCAACTTAGCAATTGACTTTTGGCAAACCAGCTGGTGATTTTTATTACATGGGGTTGATCTTTTTATTATGAGGAAAAAACAAACGTGGAACCAAGTAGTTGCAATTTTTGCACATGCTCCGAAGTTCACACTGAGAGATGTGAACTCTTTGTTCTTGACTGGTTTTGATTGTACTTCACACGTGATTTTGAAATGGCAGTGTTATTTGGTTTAATTTTTTTATTTTATTTTTATATTGGATTAAGTGAATTTTAAGTTTTATAATTGATCTTTTCTAAATTGATTTTTGGCCCGCGGGCTGGCCCTAACCCGTGGGGTTATATAATTTTTTGGCCCGCGTGGGCTGTTTAATATATGGGCTTTTTGGCCCTGCGGGTTTTTTGGCTCTGGCCCGAGTGGGTTAGGGCCTAACGGGGCGGGATGGCCCGTTTTGACGGCTCTACTTGTGGCTTTGTGAGGAGCTTAAAGACATAAAACGTAATGAAAAGGCGTTGTCTTTTATTGTATGCTTATGAAGTATGGATTTTGATGTTATAATTGGTCCCTATCAGATTGTCTTTCTGCTGTGTGTTGGACTTGAGCTGTGTGGACTCTTGGCATTGGGTAGTTAGCTTGCAAGGTAAGCTTTCGTGTCCTCGGCTTTGCCATTGTTTGGTTCCACCATGTCCCATGGGGGGATGGTTTATATGTATGTTGTGTTTACATGCTTTTATATTTGGAAATGTTGTTGAGCTATTATATGCAACGTGCCTTTATGATATGCATGTGGTGTTCCACCTATACGGTAAGCTTGAGTATGTGATGCATACAAGATGGTGAGGCTGTGGGTGAGGTGCAAGTGATGTTCCTTGTATTACTGTAGGTAATAGACATATTCCTGCATTTCTCTGGCTAGTAGAATAGTTATAACACACATGGCATGAATATCTGTTGCGCTGCATAGTTTTGGAACTTATATTGGAAATTACTGCTTTTGAACTTATATTGCACATGTAAGTGAGCTTGGGATGGAAGATCCTTGAGGACCCCTTGTCTTACTGAGATTTCTTATTTAGAGATCTCACCCAACGTTTGGGGACACTTATTTCAGATTCAGGTAACCTAGGGATTGAGACCTCGGGTGGCAGGAAGCCAGAGCTTAGTTGATTCATGTTTATGCTACTTATGCTGATATGCTATTATGATTGGATGCTGGATCCTGTTTACTGTCTTATGCTTTTAGCTTCAGTTTATGGATTTCTATGTTAAGACTTTGCAGGTTATGCTGTTGAATTGGTGAGCATGGGGATTGTCCATGCCACATAGAATTTATTATGTCTTGTTTTATTTGGGGTTGTAATAATGTATTAGGATATTGTTCGGACTACGTGTTGTACATCCGTGACTTTAGATACTCACTTTATTTATATATTGAGATATTTCAGTTATCTGTCCTTGCAACTTACATACAGGCGATATTTTATGAAATTGATTAAGTAATCAACTTGGCTAAGGTTAATGACGTCATAAATGAATTAAAGAAAAAGTTATTCCGCATTTTAATTAAGCGTGGCTTAATACGATGACATGATAACAAATCGGGTATACACGGGTGTTACATTTTATGGTATCAGAGCACTTTCTAGGGAAAAGCTTGTATGTGTTGCAATAACTTAGGATGCTTTGCTGTGTGTTTATCTTGTGTTCTCTCTGATTGGTTTTATCATGGTAATGCATATGTGACCACATTGCGTGGGCCTGATCAACTCATTCTTTGTGTAACTGGTGCAGAGTCATGGTACAGCCAAGGAGGAATCAAGGTACGAGCGGCGATCAACCTGATCCCGTCCTGGTTGAATTGGCTGAAATGCAGGCGGCCCGACTAGCCGACCAGGAGGCCGCGAGAGTAGCCAACCAGGCTATGCTGGACGCCGTCAGAGAGGCGAACAGGAAAGCCACGGAGGATATCCTGGAGGAGAACCGTATGGCGAACATGACGATGATGAGAGTCATGTTAGAGGAGCTGAAGGCTGGTCCTGCTGCTGGCCAGTTTCCTCCGCCACCACCTCCACCTCCACTTAGTCTTCAGGACGACACCCAGAGTCAGATTGGTGAGGGCAGTCACCTTACGGGGGCTATGCAGGCCGTTCCTGTGTTTGTTGAGGATCGTGATGAGATCAACCGCCGGCTGAATGCTTTTTGTAAGCATAAGCCACCTACCTTTGATGGGTCTTATGATCCTATTGCTGCGGCAAGATGGCTCCAGGCGTTGGACAAGATCTTCCGGGTCATGCAGTGCACGGATCCGCAGAAGCTGATGCTCCCTACCTACATGCTGGAAGGCGATGCCCATGAGTGGTGGACTAACACCTCTCACGTCTTCGTGATGCAGGGTCTTGTGACGACGTGGCCATTCTTCGAGGACTGCTTTCTGGGTTGGTACTTTCTTTAAGATGCTCAAGAGAGGAAGCAAGGGGAGTTCGACAGGTTAGTTCAGGGCTCGATGTCTGTTGACGAGTACCTGGCCAAGTTCAATGAGCTGGTTAAGTTCTCTCATTTCCGAATGGAGAGGCCTACTTCTGTCTTCTTGGCAGCTAAGTTCTGTAGGGGACTTAGTGATGATATTGCTGCTCACCTCGCTGGTTCTACTTCGAGAGACTTCGGCACGCTGGTGCAGCAGTGTCGGGACATTGAGGATTTTTGCAGCGCGAGCTAGGCCAAGAGGGCCAAGGTTGATGAGACAAAGGTTGTTGGTGGTTCCACTTCTTAGAGGGAAGAGAAGTTTGGGAACAAGGGTAAAAGGAAGCAGATGGCGGCTGGACAAGCGACAAAGCAGTTCAAGAGGACTTCTACTCAGGGGAGTGCAGCGAGACCTCCTGCTCCCAGATGCTCTGGATGCGGGAAGATTCATTTTGGGCCGTGCTCTACAGGCCAGTTGATATGCTTCCAGTGTGGCAAGGAGGGCCACTACTCCCGAGAGTGTTCGTCGGCGACAGCGAGAGCTGCTGCAGTACAGGAAGTTCCTTTGCAAATGGTCCCCCATCCACCTTCAGCGGCACCTGCAGTGCCACCTGCTACTGGACGAGTGTACACCCTGGATCGTCAGCAGTCGAACAGAGCTACGAACCTTGTCAGAGGTTCTGTTACCATTGGTGGATCATCAGTTGATGTCTTGTTTGACTCCGGGGCTACACATTCTTTTGTTGCTACCCCGATAGCTTTGGGGCTTGAATTGCCCATGTCTGTGCTTTCTCCACCGTAGCGGGTGACCACCGCCACTGGAGAAAGGTGTGATTCTACCACTGTTCATCGCGATGTGGCGTTACAGTAGGATGGCCGTGACTTCTCGGTGGATCTGATAGGATTGCCGATGACCAACTTGGAGATTATTCTGGACATGGATTGGTTGTCCAGGAATTGTGTGATGATTGACTGTTGTGCCAAGCGTGTGGTGATGTCTCCGTGTGACTCCACAGCCAGTTCCTCACCTTAGATTTCGTTGCTGCAGGCTAGGAGAGCCTTGAGAGCAGGGGCATATGGTTATGTCATGTTGGGAGGTTTGGTGAGTGGGACACATGAGGATATCACTGGCATTCATGTGGTGAGGGAATTCCTCGAGGTGTTTCCTGAGGAGATTCCTGAGTTTCCGCCACAGAGGGAGATAGAGTTCTCCATAGATCTGTTGCCTGGTGTGGGGCCTATTTCATTAGCTCCATATCGGATGTCGGTACCGGAGTTGGCAGAGCTGAAGAAGCACATTGAGGATCTTTCTGCGAAATATTTCATCCGACTGAGTGTGTCTCCGTGGGGAGCACCGGTCATCTTTGTGAAGAAGAAGGACGGGACAATGCGATTGTGCACGGACTACAGGCAGCTGAACAAGGTGACAATCAAGAACAAGTATCCCCTTCCGCGTATTAATGATTTGCTGGATCAGCTCAGGGGTGCTTGCGTGTATTCGAAGATTGATCTCCGGTCCGGATACCATCAGATTCGGGTGAAACCGGAGGATGTCCCCAAGACCGCATTTCGTTCGAGATACGGTCACTTTGAGTATTTGGTGATTCCGTTCGGACTCACCAATGCACCTGTAGTGTTCATGATGAGCATATGAGGATTGTGCTGCAAGTTCTGAAAGAGAAGAAGCTTTATGCGAAGCCTTCCAAGTGTGAGTTTTGGCTCAGGTACGTGAAGTTCCTTGGGCATGTGATTTCTGCTGAGGGAGTTGCAGTGGATCCCAACAAGATTGAGGCAGTGATGGATAGGGCGAGGCCCAAAACTGTTTCTGAAGTTAGGAGTTTCTTGGGTTTGGCCGGGTACTACAGGAGGTTCAATAAGGGATTCTCCAAGATGGTCCTGCCGTTGACTCGCCTTACTCGTAAGGAGACTCCATTTGTGTGGACTCACGAGTGTGAGGAATGCTTTTAGGAGTTGAAGGAGAGATTGACTACCGCACCTGTGTTGATCCTTCCTGATCCTGATGAGCAGTTTGAGCTTTACTGTGATGCTTCTGGAAAAGGGCTGGGGTGTGTGCTGTTGCACACTAGTAGAGCGGTTGCTTTTGCTTCGAGGCAGTTGAAGCCTCATGAGGAGAACTACCCGACTCATGATTTGGAGTTGGCGGCCATTGTTTTT